GCGATTGCATAAAAGATTTCATGAATATATGCTTAGCCCATATTAGAATATATCAAAGAGAAATATAAAATCTTAATCTCTTTCATTATTCCACGAAACCATCTTTGCATTTACATTCGGTCACTTTAATAAGTGCACAAGAATGAATACGTCCTGGGCGGGCTAGCTAAGAAGTCTTTTACCCATTAACTGCAGGAGTTTGAATGAAATGAATATAAGGAATTGTTTGGAATTAGTTCACATAACCTGCAAGATCTACAAAAGTGAAAAAGTAAGCACCTTTTCAATGGTGAGTAGTTGATCATAATCTGGACTTATTAAAGAATTCCTGAAAAACAGCTTCTGGGAAATTAATGCCAACTCACCAAAAGTTAGTGCCATCACCAAAGGATCTTTGAAAATGTTATTTTCAAATGGCATTCATTAACTTTGTTCTATGTGGCTCTGCTTTTTACATTTCTAATTTTCCTAGCACTATTAAAAATAAGCGACAGGTCCAAACTTCTGAGGCACAAAAACTTTCCCATAACTGTATTTCCTTTCCCAGTGTGCAAAATGCTCCCTAGAATTTAGAGTTTTCACTAGGTGAATGAGACCAGGGCTATCATTGGATTATATTTGTTCCATTCTGTTACTAACCATTTTTTAAATAAAAGACCAGGGCAGGTTCTAAACATGTTAGCTTCTATAAAGCCATTAGTCCTAAATTTGATCCGGCAGTTTGCTGGACAATGGCGTCTGCCTGCGGGGCTGAGGGGGGTGCGGGGGTGGTGGGGGTGCCTGTTGGTCACTCTGTACTACCCACCCTGTTGGGGACAGGAGGATGAGTTAAGATCCCCTAAAGAAGCAGGAATTAGAATACTAACCCAACAGGACTTCAGCTCCTGACTGTCCATGAGGTGGTTCTTGCCCTTGATCATTGCCAACTCCAACAACGCGCCAGAGGCTTTGACTATTATGTAACTCAATTGTTCGCACCCTTCTCCCCAGTCCCTCTCAAGCTACGTTTCATGCAGGAATTACAGCACACCCCAACTGCCCTTCTTTTGATAAATCTCCATTTATGTTAGATCCTGTTGGTGAATTTCCTATGCCGCCTGCCAATTCAGCGGCTGCAGCTCAGCAAAGTCCGCTTCGACTTTTTTCTCCCTTCTGGGGCTATCCAAGTAAGCATGGAAAAAGCCAAAACTTTGTGCAACTCCTTCTGAAGAGCGTTTCGCTCCTTCCTGTCTGCAGGCTGCAGCAAGTCTGAGACGCTAAAGGCAAAGCTCTCCTGGCCCTGAACTTCCTAGGGAGCCGGCGCGGCCTGGCCTAGGAAACAGGTGCGACCGGGCCAGAGACTTTGAACTTGGAGAATTCCCAGAAACCTGCCCAGCGCTGCGCCCGGGGACCTCGGGGCTAGGGACTGCTCTTCCCGGTACACACAGTGAGGTGCCTCCAGGGCGTCCCCGTACAGGCCAGGCAATCAGGGTGTCCAGCTACTCTTGGAAAGGAAAGAACTCTCAGAAACCTAGGGGTACCGCTAACCCCCAAACCAACCTCACTGCCCTCGGGCCGTGCTGGCTCCGGAAGATGCTGCAGGCCAGGGTAGAACTGCTCTCTTTCCTGGAGTCGAAAGCCCCACCCTAAGGGCACCAGACGGGAGAGACTACAATGCAGAGCAGTCGTCGTCACGGATCCGCACCCCGACTTCAGGTCCAGATGCCCTAGGAAGGCCCCGCCAGGCACGGTCCTGCACCCCGGGGCGCGTCCAGCTGTCCTGCAACCGCGCGGCGGAGCCCCTGGGCGCGGAGTTGGCTTACCTGGGGCTGGCGGCGCGAAGGTGCAGTCCCCGTCG